TATTTATATGTGTTAAATACAAGACCACAACAAATAATAAATTTTAAAAAGTACCTAATTAGGATATCTTTTTTATAAAGAAACTGACTGACATTTGTAGTTTATTAACAATTGTGATTTATGAACAATAATACAACAGCAGTAAGTGATGAGTTCATATATTATTTAAAAAAACAATCATTGTTTTTAATAAATACTTGATAAATATTCATTACAAATACACTAATTTATCGAAGAATAACAACTGAAATTCCATATTCCTGACTCATTAATGCTCCGATAAAAAATAAATAAAGTACTATTTAATTATATTTTCATTATGATAGTAAATGTCAATAGAACTAAAGTTACTCAATTGCGTTCATGTTAACCAGTCATAATTATCAGTTTTGTACATGAAGTTTTAAATTGATTCAGTTGTAATTATTAAAATAATACATAGAATAATGGAAGAATTTGATTTCGACCAATTTGGTCTCGTGTGCTGTTACGGGTTAGATGGCGGTTGTCACTTCTCGGCTGCCCACACCGTGGAAGGTTGTTTCTAGAGGAACCTGAAAAGGAAGATATATTAGCGTTGGTCTTAGAGACCCGGGTGCATGAATGCAGAGTCCAAGGGACAACTGCTTGAGGCCGGTCACGCACGGCCTTTTTGTTAAAGGTTTTTTGAGGATTAGCTCCGCTCTTAACAGCCCTTAGTGGGCACCCTTACCCAAGGAGATGAAAATCCGTGAGGTAGGGGAGGTGTGACATTTTTAAGGTCGACCTTTTCCAACCCTTCCTTCCTTGTGAGAAGGCAGCATCGCTGCAGATGCTGGTTGTCCTTACTGCTGTCACACCCCTCTACAGTCAGAAGTAAGGCTTTACCCTCAGACCTTGAGTAGCTGCTTTTAGTCTTATCGTTCTCCAGTCGACCTGACTGGCATGGTAGGACCTTCAGGAACATATGTTCCAGCCAGTATAGCTCGGTTGGATCATCACGATAGTCAAGCCCGACCACCACGTCAAGGTAGCAGCTACGGTCGTGATAGAATAATGGTAACATAATTAAATAGAATGAATTCTATATTATTTTCTTAAAGAAGAATTTTACTTTTTTTGAATTTTTAGAACAATAAAGAAAAGTACATTTAAAATTTTTTTTTCTTGTATAGTAAAGATATCATAACAGAAAAAAAGCAAACATTTTTATTCTTTAATTCATTTATTCAATGCTCATGTAAGAAAGTTTGAGCAATATAGTATGTATTTTTTAAGTTCAAGGTTAAACAATATACTGAATAAACTTTAGAATGTAATCAAAAGGCTGTATAAGTTTAATTTTTTTTTTAAAAAATTAAATTTATAGAAATATTTTAATTTATTATTTTGATTAGGAAGATGAATATAATGAAAATGTGAAATTGCATTTCATGATTTATTGGATTAAGTAAGATTTTCAAGTTAGGTATTGTTTGAAATTATCAACATCTTACGAGAAACTGCCTAATAGATGATTTCTTATGACAGTAATAATAATAATAATAATAATAATAATAATAATAATAATCACCATTTGAGGTAAATGTAGATGTGTCTCATTGTTGACAAAATAATTTTTATTGCATGTCGATCAATTTATTCATTTTTCGAAACCATGAATCGATCAATGTTAGACCACCATTAGAAACCTGGAAGCACTGGACGGCCGTTTCGTCGTAGTTTGGGACTCCTCAGCAGTGCGCATCCAAGACTCCTGCACCTCGCAGGATTCGAACCCAGGACCTTCGGGAGTGTGCGCGAACGCCCTAACCGTTAGACCACTGGTTTCTGATGGTGGTCTAGCATTGATCGATTCATGGTTTCAAAAATTGTGTAACTTAACAATCTTCACAACCCCGTAATGCAAATCAATTTATTGTTTGAATATGCTTAAGTAACAAAATATATTTTTTCAAATCTATATTAGTCAATACAGTCCAGATTATTTCATTGCATTTTTATTCATTTAAGAAATAAATAAATGTCAGTATTTTCACAGGTGAAATCAAGAAGTGTTCTTCCTATCAAAAGCCTGGAAGCACTGTAAGACTGTTTCGTGTAGGTTTTCATTGATGATCTGATTAAGATCAATTCTTGATTTCAACTTGTGACATTATTAAAATCTACTCAAAATCCCTTTTACAAAGGTCGGCATGTTAATAAATTTATTTTACCGATATGTATTTGACGAGAATGAACACTCATAGTGAGTGTATCATGGTGACCATCTTTAACAAGTTTTATGACATGCCTTTTTAGGTCATCTTCAAAAGCTTAATTCTACATTGCTTAAGGAGAAACAATTTTGCCTCTTTCATTCAGAGTTATTAAAATCGTGTTCTGATCAAAGTTACAAATGAATCTTTAACATTTTGTTAAAATCAGTTTACTATTGCAAACTGACATTAGCTAGTAAACCGTGGAGTATTAAACAACAGTTTCATCTTCATTCAAAACCTCAAAATGTACAGTCTAAGTCCCATACACTATTACATCAGAGTAATTCAAACCTATGAA